CCAAGGGCGCTCGTGGCAGGCTGACCTAGTGGTTAACAATCGAGGCTAGACGCTGCACTAGCACAAGCCGGGTTCGAGTCCCGTTGGAGTTGTTAATAAGACCAGTTGAGGCGAGTTCGGAACGGCAGACTAATTCAGTCTGGGGGAGAATAACTTTTGGAGGACAAGGTCTCGTGAAATGAGATGGAAACGTAAAGTGCAAGCACAGCACATTTCTGTGATGGTATGCCGACGAAGCAAAATTGTATTTGCTATTGCAATCGACTACACTACTTATTTTCCATTTTAAGTAGATGTTTGAAACTCTCAAATGCATACAGTTACTGGTAGTCTCGAAAGTCTGCCTATAAGCGGAGTATAGACTAAGAAAGTCCTTCAAAAGCGTGGGTATGCTTGAGGTGAGCCTTGCCTTGGTCCGAATTTGGCCGAAATCGCTAGCGAGGCCTGATCAGTCCGACCTTCTGTGCGACCATACTTCAACGAGTTTCACCGATGGCTTCGGCCTTCGCTCGGTCTAATCGTGTTTTATTTAGCGCCACGGAATTGGATATTATGAAGACTCGGTATTCGAGTGATATCGACTCTGACCACAGCGACGTGCTTTTCACTGCTTCACGTATCATATCGACTGCGGTTTATTCCAGCATAGCAAGAACCTCAACACTTTTTATTCATATGAATCTAGGTTTATAATTATGGATGTGAATTTTTCCTCATTTTATTCCAAGGGCAAATATGCTTTTGCGACTACTTATTATGTCATTAGTAGTAAGGCTTTTATTCCGCACGGTCCAGTTGGCCAAGCCTCGTGAATTATAGGCTTTTATCATGTGCTCCGGCCGATGCAACTGACACGCTTATTATCACCGCCACAGGGTGCTGTACAGCCTGACGCCCGCCACCCGAGAACTGACTGTGCTCACATTCGGCTTGTTGCACAACATGGTCGTCCACTCCGCCATATCACTTCAGAACCAAATAGCGCGCTCGAGACAGTCCACGAGAACAGATCAGACCTGTTCGGAACTTGCAGCCTCTTCACCGACGTCCCCATCGTCAGCTGTATCTGGAACTGACGTACCTTTCGCTACTGACACGTTGACGACGTCTCCAGCCCCTTCAGCGATCGACTCAAGGGCGCCTCTTCACTGTGGCTCGTTTTGCGTCTCGGGTCGGCCGGACGGCGAGTTGTTACTGAAACGGAGACCGGTTCTCGTCTCAGACGGCTTTGATGCCTTTAAAAAAGGTTTATTGAATGAAAGTTTTGCGAAAACTTGTTACTTATTTCGAATTTTTTGGTTAAATTGTCTTTTCAATAACAAATACAGATAGTTTCTTTATAGTACTCTGGCATTAGGTTTATAGTATCTTGTAGCTTATAACTTTGAATAAATACTAATAATGAGTATCATTAGTTAAATTATATATTTTGAATATATTCAAGTTAAAATGAGTTAAATAAAAGGTTACATCGTTCCAAACATGCAAAACTGATAATAATCAGTATTAATATTAAATTATCAAATATAATTAAAATCTGCATTGAGATGAGTCTCTTTAGGTTAAGCATCATCAACTTGAATAAATATCAATAATCACTAGTATTATTGAATTATGGATTAAAGATATATTTTGCTCAATAGTAATTCTTCTTTCGGTCAAGTAATACGATGTATTGTTATCACTTTGAAAAAATACCAATAACTATAAATATTATTGAATTAGAGATTAGAGATAAATTTTGTTTGATAGTGAGTCGAGCAATATTTTAGAGTACTATCAGTTTTAATGAATACTGATAATCATTATTAATATTGAACTATATATTATAGATAGAATTTGCTTACTAGTAAGTCTTCTTTCGGTCAAGTAATGGATTAGATTGCAATCGCTTTGAATAAATACTGATAAACATTATTATTATTATTGAATTAGAGACTAGATATATTTTTGATTGATAGTAAGTCTTCTTTCGGTCAAGTAATAAATTATATTGTTATAAACTGGAATAAATACGAATATCCATTATTATTATTATTATTAAATTTAGATTAGAGTTATATTTTGTTTGAAAGTGAGTCTTTCTTAGGTTGAGTAAAAGAATTACTGTTATCCTCGAAATCTCTTCACTTCGTAATTGTACAATATTGTCCTCTAATTTAGGTGTATATGCATTTTTAAAGTGAATTAATCTTGTGTCAAGTGCCTGATGCAGATATCTTTGGCCAAACTCATCACAACATCGCTATTCTGCAACTCTTTGATTTGTCCATCCCACTCAGGTTGAAGTTGCCAACAAAGCGTCCTCATTCGTTTGGGTTAGGTTGTCGTCTCTCATGCCGATCTCAAGTCAAGGAGACTTACTGGCTCTTCCTTTGAAGAACAACTAAATAGGGCTACAGTTAAGCAAATATAGAATTACTTGACTAGTTTGCTTTCACGTTGCTCTAGTACAAGTAGATTTGAGTGTGCATGGAGTCGTGTGTGGCTAGACCAAACATAATCAATCCTTATCCGCAATTTCGGACCATTACAACGATTTCCTAGTTTCGAAGGTTCGTCTGGCCGAGGGATAATATTGAACAATTGAGCCGTTCATTTGGGTAGTCTTCTATTTCTGTCCTTCTCTGTGTGTTTTTTAATAATAAGGCATTCCAAATTATTAACCTACTCCAAGTACTTTCATTCAACTTATCGCCTAATCTGTTGATTTCGACTGCCTCAGACCGATGCTTTTTATGCCAAGACGATGCTCTTTAAACCATTTGTCTTCGTGTTCAACTCCTGAATGTTGGACTTAATGGTCTATGATGGCATTTATGCATTTGAAGGACCTTTAGTGACTCATTAAGTACACCATATTAGATGGATGTGGATAATGAGTCAAAGCTTACTCTAAAAGGGAGAATGTAACCAATGAAAACGTCAAAAGTTCTTTTTAAACTATTTTATTCCCTACTTCCCTACATTTTCGTTAAAACTTTTGCAAAGGGGCATGCCAGCAATGTTGAGACATCAGATTAGACCTAAATTTGCCTACAATGCATCAAGTAGCCGCCTTTGAAAAATGTATTACTCTTTCAAACGATACTGATTTTATTTGATTAATTTAGATAATTGTTGCTCAGCTGACGCTTTATCCGCAAGTCTAGTATTCCCAAAACTCTTTATTTTAACTGAAGCTATGAAGATCAAGATGTTGTGGCCTCTGTTATGGTCGCAGTCTCCTTTCGATTTATAGAAGTGGGTTGAC